TGCAGAAAGTGAGGGGAAGAAATGATCAACCAGAAAAAAAGGTTATGTCTAGCATGGATGATGGATGGAGGTAAAGGGGAAGGAAGAGAGAAAGTGGATGGAGAGAGTCAAGGAGATTACAGGACAGCCCTTGGAAGAGCTATAATTTAATTAAACAAGAACCAGAAAAATGTAATAGGTTGAAGATTGCAATTATGTTGAGAAGCTTACTCCAGTTTCAACTGGAGTTTTAAAAGAACGTTTTTTGCAGCTTGGAGTTTTTCTCGCCTTCAAAATTGCTTTTTGTCCCAAGGTGTAATTTAATATCTCTCCTGCTATTCTTTAGCCTACATCTCCAAAGGCAGAGGAGTGACTTCAGATGGAGAATTCCCTCCTGCTTCTTCCTGCAACCTGTCTTGTATTGAGAGGTGCATTTCTGTGATTAGGTACTGAGTGACCGAGAGCAGGGCCTCCCGGAGAGTCTAGGAGAATCCCCAAATTGTGGCTCATTCATTGGTGCATCTCTGTTCAAAGTCAGAGATGGAATTTCTCTGGAACTCTATGGTCTACAAACCCAACCGTATTCAATCTTGCAGAAATTCACTCCGTCTGTTCCTTTCCATCCGGATTCTGATGGCCTCTATGCCACCACTTCCAGCACATCACTTGTTTGGCCTTGGGATGTGAAAAATAACTGGATACCATCAGCATACGGAGGATACCAGACTCTAGGCCAAAAGATGACCTCCCGTAGGAGTTCCATGTACATCTTCAAAAGGAGTGATAACTGGGGAGAGTCCTGGATCACGCACAGAATAACTGTCTCTGGACAGGTCTCTCTTCCACCATGACTACCTCAAAAAGAAGAACTACCACTAAACAGTGCACTTCCTCGGTGATCGTGGATAAGAAGGTGATGGATGGTTGGTGGTACTGAGAGCCATTGAGTGATCAGGGAGGGTTGCACTCCTCCAAACCCTCTCTCTCCATAACTCATTCGTAAGTGCAACTAATAGAATTTCGATGCTGTATCCTGGTTGGGAACATATTGCCAAGGAGCCAAATAATCGGCTTCCTCTCAGGCTCTCTGCAGTTGAAGAAACTCACCCTGTTATCCAAGCCAGGTCAGAAATTGGACACCACAAAGGCTTCTGGAGCTCTACAATATTTTTATGGGGTATAATAACAGAATCTCGAAAGCCTGACAGCGTTTCCTACTGACCTCCTTTACAGGATGCAGAATCAAGGCAGGATTATTTTGACCCTCTTGAGTAAGTAGAAAGCTGAATT